ACAATTAAAAAGCTTCACATCTTTCAAAGGAACAGGTAGTTTAAAGAGAAACACGTGTAGTAGACTTTGTTGCCACAAGTAAGTACATATCATAAAACAAGCACTTGATTTTAAAGGAGAAGGTCCTCTTCCACAGAACTGGACATCATCCATCCAGCCATCCATCTATTTTCTGCCAGTTATCCAAGTCCATATTCTAGGGGCAGCAGTCTAAGTAGAGATGCCCACACCTCCTTCTCCACAGTAACTCTCTCCAAGTTTTTCAGGAGGGACCCCGAGCTGTTCCCATGACAGCTGTGATTACATGACAGTGTGTCCTGTGTCTGCCTCAGGGTCTCCTTTCGATAAAACATGCCTGAATCCCTTTATCTAGGAAGCACACAGGAGCAATCTTAATTAGATGTTCAGACCACCTCAACTGCGTCTTTCAGTGTGGGAGCGTAGCAGATCTATTCAGAGTTCTTCGCCAATCACCAAACTCCTGTCCCTATCTCTCAGGTAGAGACCTGATGCCACACCACTTATACCTGCAATTTTGTTCTTTTGGTCACTTATCCAGAGCCACAAGACCATAATGGACAAAGTAAGCTCTAGAGAGGGCCTTTCTAGAAAGAAATATTAAGATGCTTTCAATCTCAACCACCACACTGTAAAACCTACACTGTGGTACTTTAAAAGATCATTATAGGTTGTTTCTCCTGCCCCAAAGTTATCAGTTATTAAAGATTAAAGATTTCCAGTTATAATGTGAAATTGGCATTTCACATATGAAACCACAACATGACATAAAGACGGCCTTTACCTTTTGATGAAATGTTTTACAAAATGTTTACGTTTTTGGAGTCATATTTGACTTTACAGTTGTCCTGCTTTCTGTTCAGATGTTGCGTGATCGTGAACCTTAGGTCTGGAGTGATGAAGTTGCAAATATTCCCCCGCCCCCAAACAGGGAGGGCAGTGTCAAAGGCATTGTGTAAGATTAAATGTGCATCAGCTTAAGAGAGGTCTAAACCTAAACATAAAATACAGTAAGAAAATTGCAGACACTGCAGAAATCGGTCTGAAAACAGCACATAGTGTGGAAACTTCCTTCATCTTTCACACTTCAACAAGTGCAGATCTATGTGGTGTTGACACTCCAGCCTAGCCAAGCCTGAGAGCCTGCCCCCTAAAGAGCTTGTCTCCCCCAGCAGGTTATTCTGGTGTTATTATGAGAGCTCAACATGCTCATTATGGTTGTGGCACTGTTTTCAGGGTGGCTGTCAACACTGGTGTGCCAACACTGGAAATGCTTGTGGTGAAGGACTGACAGGGACAGAGAGAGAGAAAGAGAACAGAGACACGGATGGAGGAGAGCGAAGGAGGCAGGGAGGGGATTCAGGAGACAAAAGAGAAGAAGATAGATGTGTTAGCGTGGGTCGACTGTAACAAAGACAAAGAGAAATGTGACGAGAAATATAAAGGAGCCAAAATGGGACTGAGAGGGGGGCAGAAAATCATTGCAGAGAGGAGCTTGTTTGACTGCTTGTCACCTCCCAGTGCATCACCAAACCATCCCTACACAGGAAGGAGACAGAACCAGGAACACAAACAAGTGGATAGAACCACCTGTAAAGGAAAAACACAAACCACAGAGACACTCCACACACACAAGCATTCGCATACTCATACATACACTCACACATTCCTTTTATGAACAGTCTTCTTGTGTGCAGGGGAACTGAGCGAGACAGCACTGTCTGGTAAACGCCACCAACTCCATAACCTCTGCCACTGCCCGCCATGAAAACACACCTACACTGAGGTTGCTGTCTTTGCAGTTTAATTATTCGTTTGGTGACAACAGGTTATTTTAATGCTCCAAAAACATTACCGTTGAGCTATTTAGCTAGCATCTTACCCATATCCTTTTAATTCCTTGAATTTGCTAATGCATTGTGACAAATGAAATTAAAGTTCAAGAGCTTTTCATGTGTCATCTGACATATTTTCATTACATAAGTGTTCGGTCACCTGGAAGCCATTCTACACACGCTGCTTATGTAAAACAGCAAGAGCTCTCAGATAAATATAAATCACAAAAAACATGTGGACACCCAACTAAACCTAGCGCCTAATTTTCTTAGCTTTTAGCCTGCTGTATTGGCTTTTTGTGTGTATTTACAGTATAGCTCACTGTAAACACTGATATCCAAATAGGCTGTGCTGCTGTTTCCCTTGCCGTGCATCAAAGAGCAGTCTTGTGTCCTCACTAGGCCCAGGCTGCAATTTGGGCTCAAGGCGTGGCCCGGCACCCATTGGGCTGTGTCCGCCCTGCGTACCAGTAATGACCCCTTCCCTATGGGGAGTGTTTGATCTGGGCTGCTTGTGTGCTTCAGCAAGACCTATTTCTGGAGCGTGGGGGGGGATAAAGGGAGCTTTCAGACGTGGTGCCAATGACCATAATTAAGCAGCTTTAAGGGGTGGCAGCGAGCGCGCTAGCAAGTACAGAGTTTGTAATTTGGAAGAAGGGGGCAGCGTCGCTGTGGCTCATTGGAAGTACATGGGAGGGTCGGGTGGCACCCAGTTCTGAAACACAAGGCATGGTGTGTGTAAAAGGGACTGCAAAGAGGATTTTAAGGACTTGCATCCATTAGCACCCACCCCTGAGGCTAGCTGACCAACAGCTTATGGCTAAAATGAGGGGAGATCACCATGTGCTTTACACACAAGCAGTCAGCTTCAGCCTAACAGAGTGTCATTTAAGGTGACCTTTTTAACTGGTCAGTCAGCCACTAATGGTTCAAAGTCACTGACATCTTTAGCCTCATCAGCTAATTGTTTATCCTCCAACTTGGCTCTGTGGAGCATTCATCTGAGTAAGTGTTTGGATTCATTCATTCTGATTTTAGAAATTAAAGTTGGTATTTTAGTGATAAGATCAGAAATTATCCAAATATTCCCTTTAAATTGATTTAATTAAAAGCAAAACACGACTGCTAAAAAAATATTATTTGGAGAATGAATTTATATGATGGGATGAGGTCCAAGTACTGTAGTGTTTCTCAGAAATAAACAAATGCACCCAAATAGCAAAACAATAGAACAAAAACATTTTTTGTTGCTCAGCAGAGTTATGGTATCCATGCAGATATCTTTGGACATATTTGTGAGAATTCCTTTGTATTTTTGCCTCAGCGCCTATAAATTGGACATGGATTATCTCTAAGGATAATCCACAGACTGTTTTCAATGGCAGCACCTTCTGCTGAAGGCAGTGTGTTTCTTGGACTCATTTGCTTTTGAACAGTTTTGAAAGGAACTTAAAATATCATGTCACATGTTCATGTACGTGTTAATGAAACACCTCAAACAGGTGGTGGGTGGTAATTACTGGCTCACGGTCCCTGTGGGGTGGTCTTGGCCGGCCTTACCCCGATCAGGCCGTGACCCCTGTTAAGGTAATGGGTGTTCATCCAGGTGCTTCTCCATTAACATGTCTCTAACATCATGGCCAAAACCAGTGTAAAAACAGCTGTCTTATCTCTGCAAACTGGCCCAATTTTACTGAATAAGTGAACTGAATGAAGACAAAGACATCTTTCCAGCCCGTGACTATTATCTACATTTTAAATATTATCTTCTGGTTATTGCTCAGTTATTAATCATAGCTCTTCCCAAACCTCCCCTTACATTTTCCCAGTTTTTACTCCTTGGGGAGTTATGACACACTTGCCAAGTTTACAGTCATAGAGCTCGTATTTATCGTTCCCACCTTTCTTGGGAAAATCCAAAGCTTGGCCATATCAATTTTTCCATATATTGCAGGGCAACGTGATGGCATACTTGCCAACCTCGAGACCTCAGAATTAGGGAGACATTCAGGGTATACATATACATATATATATATACAAAAAACTTGAATTTTACAATGCTTATTTATCGTATAAAATAAGCTAAATGTCACCGTTATTATTGTCCGGCCGGAAACAGGACGGAGGTGTCCAAATTCAGATGCTGCGTCCACCTGAGGACCCGGCCTTCGCGGTGTAAGTGGGCCCGAAACCGGGTAGACCGGAAATGAGCTTCTGTGAAATTGGACGGTCAGAATTACGTCATGAGCGCTGTCGGTGGAGTGAAACTCTGCCGTCTGCTCCTTGCTATCTAAAATATAACCGGACGCTGGCGTAAATTTTCGACCATCTCACACTTCTGTTTAATCAGTTTTATTCAGCTGTGTGAAAACCCCAGAGGAACCCTCCCGAGGGATTAATAAAGTTGTATTTAATCTAATCGAATAACTTTAATCTCAGCCAAACCTATTTACTCACGAACAAATAAAACACCGAAAAAGGCCAAACAATAACATGTTTAAGTTATTTAAGTGACGTTTATATCATGTTTAACCTGAATAGCGAAAGACCGCGGGGGTTTGAAAACGATGTGCCGGGAGTTTGCTGCAGATATTTGAAGTTTACACAGCTACATTCTCGCCTGAAAATATGTTAAAAGTTTATTTTGCGACCCAGAAAGAGTAATAAGAGTAATATTAAAACTAAGTAGCTTCAGTAGTAGTAGCCATTGTTGGAAATAATAATAATAATAAT